AGGAAGTGAAAAATTTAACTGTCACTCAGCCCATAAACCACAAGACCTTTACATTGTAGCTTTTTTGTACTGTTTCCCATTTCTGTCTGTATGGCTCCATAGCTGGTTTTGCCAGTGCACCATATATATAGGAAAAACTGGTGAAAAAGACCATGGTTCAAGAATTTGGTGGGGTTTTTGTGAAGCGTTTTTGTTTTGTTTTGTTTTTGACAGATGAGCTAAAGTATTACACCTTGAGCCATTTTATTGATTCTAAAGTGTTCTTATATGCTGGAACTTCAAATATAGGGCTTTAAAAAGGTCTCCGTGTAAATTGGTGATGTTTTAGAATCAAATGTAGGGTTGTAAGTAGTAACTTTGGTCAAATAACCCCTTAGAATAATACCCACAGTTTGCAGGGTTTTTTTTGTTTTGTTTTGTTTTGTTGTTTGGTTTTTTGCTTTTGTATTGGTGTTTTAGCCTACATGTATAAATGTGTGAGGGTGCTGGATCCTGGAGTTATAGACAGTTGTGAGCTGCCATATGGGTGCTGGAAATCAAACCCGGGTCCTCTAGAAGAGCAGTCAGTGCTCTTAACCGCTGAGCCATCTCTCCAGCCCCAACAGTTTTGTTTTTATTTTAGAGGATAGGCTCACGTTTCTGTGGCTTCTATTTAATTATTTCAATGATGCTGAAAGTTTTGGGTTTTTGTTTTGTTTTGTTTATGGCATGGGGAAAGACCAGCAAAATGGCTCAGCTTATAAAGACACTTGCTGTAGAAGTCTGGTGGCTTGAGTTTGAGCCCTAGAATTTCTCCCACATAGTAGAGAGCTAATTCCACAACACTGTGCTCTGACCGTCACATGGACACCCCTGATACTCATGCCCCCTGAAAATAGAGTAATAATAATAATAATAATAGTGAACTTTGAAGTGAGATGACTTAGCAGTAAGGATGCTTACTGACAAGTCTGACAAGCTGAGTTTGAACCCCTGGACCTACATGGTGGAATTAAAGTCCAGACTTCTGCAGACTGTCATCTTATTTCCACATGTGTATGGCATGCTTGTACCCAATACACACATACACATACACACAACAAATACATATTAAAATATTCTTGTAATTTATTTGGCATTGCATATGTGTATGCATGAGTGGGTACATGACATCTTTAGTGTGAAGGTCAAAAGCTGCAGTTAAGACATTTTGCAGAACATCTGGTTTGTTATGTCAGTGCTGGGATCTGAAATCCAATCTTATTGATTGAGCAGGAAGCACTGTTAACTGCTGAGCCATCTCTAGCCCCATAATAATTTAAAAATGTGGGGTGATAGAGGGTTAGAGTTTTGTTTTATTGGAAGATGAGTGGAGAGATTATTAAATAAATAGGGACTAAAGGTAATAAATGTGGAGTCTGGAAAGTTGGTCTCAGCAGTTAAGAGCACTTGTTACTTTGGCAGAGGATTTGGGCTCAGTTCCCAGCATCCACAGGATAACTTAAAATCATCTATAACTCCAGTTCCAGAGAATGCAGCACCCTCTTCTGACTTTTTTGTCACTGCATGTGATACACAGACATACATGCAGGCAAAACACATACACATAAAATAATTCTAATAGACACACACAGAAAGAGATTGCTTGTACTGCTCTTGCAAAGGACCCGAGTTCGAGTCCTAGCACCTACATGGAGTGACTCCCAGCTCCTGGGGGTTCCAAACCTCCAAGAGCATCTGCACTCATATCCAGTATCCACACGCAGACACATAGACACATAATTTGAAAGAAATAACATCTTGTTTAAAAGTAATATGAATATAGAGTTAAAAGAATCAAGCTGTGGAATTCCTGACATGTAACTGTTTGTGAAAAGTAGTATTCTTTGGCCAGGGATATATTAGTCCTGCCCAGGAAGAACATGATGATAGTCAAAAGCACTAAATTCAAGATGGTGCTTACCTCGGGAGGCAAGATAGGGGTAAGATAAGGATGTGCCAAGGGGTTTCTGTCGCATGTGTAATGATTACTTCCTGCCTTCATAGTAGGTGGGTAGGTCTTTTTTTATTTTTTGTTCTCTGTACTACTTGCTTATCCAAAATATTTCTAGTTTTAAGTTCAGGTAGCCTTTCACCCCTACTCCTTAATTCCTCTCCCAGAATTGTTCAGGAGTCAAAAGCCTACTGATTTAACTGAACCTTTCCAGTGATATATACATGGACAGGAATTACATTTATGTAAAACTACTTCTTCCATGTTTAAAAGTCCCTTTTACAGTTTTCTTCAGTTTTATACCTATGTCTTATAAATATATCTTAAAGATTATATTGTATCAGTATATAGTTTTTAATGAAAGTGACTCTTTGTCAGCAATATTATTAGCATTATGCTATATTTTAAACTTTATTTGCTAATGTATATATTGTTTTTGTTGTATATCATCTGTTTAGCCAACAGAAAATCCAAGTTTTTCCCTAATTCCTCTTTACAAATATTCCTCAAGCTTCCCGTGGAGGTTTTATCTGTAGTTCTTTTCTAGTTTGTAAGTCATGTTCCCTTTTAAGGAATGAATATGGGGGCCAGGTGGTGGTGGCTGATGCTTTTAATCCCAGCACTTGGGAGGCAGAGGCAGGCAGATCACTGAGTTCGAGGCCAGCCTGGTCTACAAGAGCTAGTTCCAGGACAAGCTCCAAAGCCACACAGAGAAACCCTGTTTCAACAAAACAAAACAAAACAAAACAAAGAATGGATATGGGGGAGGCAGATTTGGCTTCAGAGCTTGGGTTTGAATCCTCTGCTTCTGCCCCTGACTAGCAGTGTGGTCTTGGGTGTTGGTTCATTCAGTTCTTAATCTGTAAAGGGAATTTAGTATTCCTTTGCTTGTGAAGTTCTGTTAAGAATTGAATGGGAGCCAGGTGGTGGTGGTGTACACCTTTAATCTCAGCTGTAGTGGCATTTTATTTGTATTTTACTAAATAAAGCTTGCCTGAAGATCACAGAGTAGTAAAACAGCTCCACTGGTCAGCCTTACAGATCAGGTAATGGTAACACACAGTTTTAATCCCAGTCGCTACACTAGTTGCCACAGAAGCCGAGCAGTGCACGCCTTTAATCCTAGCCCTAGAGAGGAGTATAAAATTGGAGGAGACAGCTCTTAGACAGTCTCATTCTGAGATTCCTGGAGGCAGGAACGCCTTTTTCAGACTGAGGTCGAGGTAAGAGCCAGTGGCTGGCTGCTTTGCTTTTCAGGTCTTCATGTTGAACCCAGTTTCTCTCTCTTGAGTTTTTATTAATTGTGCTTCACCTATCACTCGGGAGGCAGAGGCAGGCGGATCCCTGAGTTCAAGGCCAGCCTGATCTATAGAATGAGTTTCAGGACAGTCTCCAAAGCTACAGAGAAAGCCTATCTTGAACCCCCCCCCTCCCCAAAATTGAATGGGTTAAAATGCCTAACACATGGGAAGTGTTGTAAAGTATTAGCTATTTTTTTTCCTATTTCTATTGTATTGTTGATTGCTCTCTTGCCTGATATTCATGCTGCTGCCAATCTCTTGCTGGATAACTCTGCCTTCCCCTACTGACCTCCTCAGGCCTTGGTTTCATATTTGGAATCTGCTTTTTTTTTTTTTCTTTTTTTTGAGACCGAGTTTCTCTGTAACTTTGGAGCCTGTCCTGGAAACTAACTCTTGTAGACCAGGCTGAACCCGAACTCACAGAGATCTGCCTGCCTCTGCCTCTGAGTGCTGGGATTAAAGGTAAGCACCACCACTGCCCGGCTGGAATCTGCTTTTTCAAAGCATGTTCTCCTAGTCCCTGGTGACACCCGTTGAACTACAGCTACCTTCTCCCTACAGCACCAGGCTGTTGGCATAGCTAAGGGGGAGGTGGTGGCAAAATATAGCCTCCCACCTGCCTAGAACTAACTTTGCTATGTCCTTGCTATTCAGAGACATAGTCACATAGTTTGTCTTGGCCAGAGCTTTCGTGCATATCCTTGTGCAGAGTTTTCCCTTAGGCTCCTTTGCCATACTCCATTTTCTTACCTGAAGAATCTGCATCCAGGTAGTGTCTGAGTCTAGCTGAGAGGAGGTCAGGTAGGCTCTTTCTCATGAGCTCCCAGGCCCCATATAAACTGGGGTATGGCTAAGTTCCACAGACACTTCATGATGGCAAGGAGGCCAGTGTCTCCTGAATGCCAGAGGATCTCCAAAGAAAACAGAGTTCTGGCCATCCAGCTAGAGAGAGAGCTTGGGCTCAGAACCAGGGAGGACGCCCTATTATTCCGAACACTTACAACTAACATTTGAGTAGCAGTTTCTATGACTACTGAGTTTTCACTAATTCTGAGCCACACATGGGTATCCTATTTCCATCTCGCCAAGGAAGAAACATCATTAGAAACAAGTGGTGACACGCCTTTGATCCCAGCACTTGGGAGGCAGAGGCAAGTGGATCTCTGTGAGTTCCAGGACAGCCAGAGCTGTTACACAGAGAAACACTGTCTTGAAAAACCAAAAAGGAAGGGAGGAAGGAAGGAAGAAAAGAAAATGAGAAGACTCAGAAGTAGAGGGCTTACCTGGTGCAGATGAGATCCTGGCCTCGTCTCCAGAACCTTGAGGGAAGTACGTGTGGGGCTTGCCTAGCATGGCCCTAGGTTTGATCAAATATATATTTTTATATACACAAAAGAAACGATTACATAGAAAAAGGGATGAGCATTTTTTTATTTCATGTGTCACTCAAGCAAAGCTACCTTCTTACGTGGTTTAAAAAAAAAAGAAGACCATGTCTTACAGTTCAGTGGAGTTTATCTCAGTTGTCATAATGGAAGGGGGTTGATGTTAGATAGGGTGTGAGGTTAACAGTGTTGACTCTTTTTATTTAAAATTAGGCCTTAATGCCCTAGGTTTGTGTGAACTGTAACTAGTTTTGTGTATAAATATATGTATGTGTAATAGATATTTATGTATAAGTATTTTTAGATATGTATAAACACATGTATACATCTGATTTTTCTCAGAGCCACAATGGATACTGCTAGCCATAGCCTTGTCCTTCTGCAGCAGCTGAACATGCAGCGAGAATTTGGTTTTCTGTGTGATTGCACAGTTGCTATTGGAGATGTTTACTTCAAAGCCCACAGAGCGGTACTTGCTGCCTTTTCCAACTATTTCAAGATGATATTTATTCATCAAACAAGGTAAGAATGTGCTCTTGTAAATGGGAAGAATTTCTAATATTGTGATACATGTCTTACTATAATATCATTTAAGGGACGGTTATGGGGTAGCTAATACAAAATTTTAATTATAATAACTTTATATATGAGTAATGGATCTCAGTGTGTAGTATCTATGGTAGAACGTATTAATGAAAACAAGTTTAACCAAAATTGATTAGGGCTTGGCCCAGCTAGGTGTGGTGGTGCAAGTCTTTAATCTTACCGCTTGGGAGGGACAAGCAAGTGGATCTCTGAATTTGAGGCCAACTTGCTACATAGTGAGTTCAGTCCAGCCAAGGCTACCTAATGAGACCCTATCTTGAAAAAAACATCCCAAACAAAAAAGGCTTAGCCAGTGCCCAAACATTAATCCTATAATGCTGCATACTCCACTGTTTTCCCGGTCTTAGAGAAAAGGCAGTTGAGCCTGAGCCGCTGAATGGCCTATCCAGGGCTAAACAGCCGATCAGTTGGGCACAGATGTAGCTCTGTCTGAAGCTAACCGTCTGTTGTAAGCGCCAGGCTATTGATTTCTAGCGCAGCAACACTGCATTGTCACAGCCTGCCATCACATTCCACACCACCAGCCAAACAAAGATCATGTGCTTCACATGTTTGTTTGGTTTGGTTTTTTTTTTTTTGATCCTTTGCATTTTTTTAAATTTAGGTAACATGGGAATTCAAATTCTTAGCTCTGGGTAAAGATGAATTTTAGTCTAGTTTTAGTTCATCCTAAAACATTCCCATATTTATTTGTTTATTTATAAATTTGGAGATAGCATCTCACTAAGTTGCCCAGGCTGGCCTTGAACTCACTCAGTATCCCAGGAGGACCTTGAACTTGTGAACATCCTGCTTTGTTTTGTTTTGTTTTGGCTTTAGTCCACGTTGGCTAACTGACTCTATTGCTGTTAAGCCTAGAGGAAAGCAGAGGGCATGACAGAAAAGCTGCCCACTTCCTAGTAGGCAGGAAGAAAGCAGAAACAGTGCAGACAGAGAAGTAGCCCTGGAAGATATGTTCTTAGTAACTCTTCTTCCACCTGGCCCCATCTCCTAGTTTCTACCACCTACTAGTAATGCGTGGACTAAATACACTGATGAGGCCAGAGTCCTCATGACTCAGTCACTTCCTCAAGTTCCATCAGTTGGCTATCAAATCGGCACATGAGCCTTGAGGGAACAGTTCACATTCACATCCTAACACTCAGCTTTCTTGTCTGTTAAATGCTAGAATAGTGTACTTTCCTTTTGGGTATTGAAAGATTAAATGGATTAGTAAAATTAAATACTTAGAGCAGCCCGGTGTGGTGCACGCCTTTAATCCCAGCACTGGGGAGGTAGAGGCAGGCAGATCTCCCAGTTTGAGATCATCCTGGTCTACAGAACAAGTTCCAGGACAGCTAGGGCTAGAGAGAAACCATGTCTTGGGGGGAAAAATGCGTAGGAACAGAGATTTGCTGTTACTAATGTGGTGTCTAGCGTCAGGTGTATTCAGAGTGAAAGAGTTCTAGCAGGCCTGTTTTGAGACGTTTGGAACAGACTTTACAAATCTGAGCAGTCAGGAGCCCTTCAGGTGTTGCAGAGGAATAATATAAGATGTATTGCAATCAGAGGGGAAATGGCAAGGATCGAGGTTAGGTAGCTAATTGTAGCAATCCTAGCACTTTAGGTACAGAGACAGGAGGATCACTGAGTTTTAGGCCAGCCTGGGCTATATTGTAAGTGTCAGGCCTGAGCTACATAGTAAGACCCTGTCTCAAAAAATCAAAATGAAACAAAAGTGGTATAGAAACATTTATAGGTATGAAGCAAATGTGGTCACCAAGTCAACAGAGTAGATGAGGTGATGAGAAAGTGTGGCACAGTGCAGAGATGGGGTCAGAATGCTAGCCAGGTAATGGGAAGTCCTTTCTGCTAGAGGAGTTTTGTCTCTGCTGTGACACTGTAGATCACATTCACTCCTCAGCCTTTGAGCTGTGACTTGTGAGTTTAGAAGCAGTGAGCATCTGAATGAAGCCCCTGTTGTGAGCTAGGTGCTGTCCAAACACAGGCATTAGGAAAGGTGAGGCCTGCCCTATGCTGTCTTTGTGTTAAGCAGCTAAACTCCAGATAACAGAATTCTGAACTTATATCCCCAAAAATGCTTGTCACACAACATGCCAGTTAGTAGACAGCACAGGACAAAAAGAGTAAAACCTAAGAGAGGAAGCAGGGATCCCCAGATCCTGGGAATAGAGAAACTGGATTGCAATATGCTGAACCCCAGTGCATCCGACTCGGAGAATAAACATCTGTCCACTGATGCTGTCCACGCTTCTGTACATGCATGATTTCCTTAGCTGTTTCTACTCTAACTTTACAGAGCTTTACTCTGTTATTCTGTCTAGTAGCCAGATTGAGTCTGAGATTACTATAGTGTTTTTCAAAATTATACCTGTGTTCATTTATGATTTAAAGATTTAGAAGCCAGGGCTGGAGAGATGGCTCAGTGGTTAAGATTTAGAAGCCAAATAAACTTAGCATCATTTATGTCTTAAATTTTAACAATTTTATTAGATTCTTTTAAAAATATGAATACTTGGTTTGGTTTGGTTTGCTTTTGTTTGTTTGATTGTCATTTTGTTTGTTTGTTTATTTCTATGAGTGTTTTGCCTCCATGTTGTAGCAGGTCCTCTGCCAGAGCAGTTAATGCTCTTAACTGAGCCATCTCTCCAGCCCCTGGTTTTGGTTTTTGATGTAGGGTCTCATTATAATTAACAGTTTTAAATCATCCAACTTAATGGCAGTAATTACATTGATAACGTTATACCTGCAACTATCACTGTTTCCAAAGCCTTTTCATCACCCTAAACAGAAATACTGTACCTTTAAGTAGTAACTTTCCATTTTCCTTCAGCTGCCTGTAACTACCCCTTATCTAACTGTAGGTTTCCCCCACCCATATGTCTCTGTCCCTTGTATATGGTTGTTTGGCCTGCACGTATGTCTGTGCTCCAGTTGCATTCCTGATGCCCAGTAAGCCAGAAAAGGGCATTGGGTGCCCTGGAACTGGAGTTACAGACAATTGTGAGCCACATATGGGAGCTGGGAATGAAACCAGGTCTTCTGGAAGAACACCAATTTTTTCTTATTTTTTTTGTTCCGCTGAGCCATTTCTCCAGCCCAGTTCTGTCTCTTTAAATGTGTTTGTCTTAGATATTTCTTTTTCTTTCAGGTTGTTTTTTTGTTTTGTCTTTCTTTCCTCCCTCCCTCCCTCCCTCCCTCCCTCCCTCCCTCCCTCCCTCCCTCCTTTCTTTCTTTCTTTCTTTCTTTCTTTCTTTCTTTCTTTCTTTCTTGAGACAGGGCTTCTTGTATCCTTGGCTATTGATGAGTGCTGGGATTTTGAAGGCATATGCCACCATGCCCAGCTTTGTTTTAGCTATTTCATGAACATGGTACCATACAATTTTTTAACATTTTTGTCTGACTTTTTTCATTTAGCTTTTTTTCAAGAGTTCAACCTTGTTATAACACACACCAGAATTTCCTTATTTTGTTATGGTAGAATAATATAACATTTTTTAAAGATTTATTTATTTTATGCATGAGTGCTGTATCAGCATGCCTAACTTTATGCCAGATGGAGCATCAAATCCCACTAGAGATGGTTGGGAGCCACCATGTGGTTGCTGGGAATTGAACTACTCTAGAAGAGTAGGTGATACTCTTAACCACTGAGTCCTATGACATTGTATTTACAGCCCCATTTCATTTATCCCTTTTTTCCCTCTTATTTTGAGGCAGAGTCTGTCTAGTAGCCTTGACTGTTCTGGAACCTACTTAGCTCAGGGCAGCCTCAAACTCAGAGACTCTCCCGCCTCTGTCTCCCCACTGCACGTGGCTGCATTTATCTTTTGATAGATATTTGTTTCCCGCTTTAGCTACTGTCAACAGTGCTGCTCTGAACACCACCGTAGAAGTGTCCTTTGGAGCCTCTGCGTTTAGTTCCTTTGATGTGTTCAGTGTAAAAGCAGAGCACCTGTTTTAGTCACTAGTTTCTGTCCTCTCACCTAGAACAGATGCTACTGCTTAGGAGTCTCTCAGGCACTAATCTGAGTGTCCATCTGTGTTTGCTGTGCTGGCCAGTAGACTGGATGCACAAAGGTTTGTGGATGGACCATAAAAGCAGTTAGGATCAGAAACTGATTTCTTGTTACTATAGTTCATCAAGGCAGATTGCCAGATTTAAACCTCGGGAAGAATTTGTCTTAACCTAAGATTGCTAGAAACCAAAAGGCCAACTAGGTTGTATTTCATTTCATTGGGTTTGTTTTTGTTTTAACAGTGAATGCATAAAAATACAACCAACTGACATCCAGCCTGATATATTCAGCTACTTGTTGCACATTATGTACACAGGAAAAGGGCCCAAACAGATGGTGGACCATAGTCGTTTGGAGGAAGGGATCCGATTTCTCCATGCAGACTACCTTTCCCACATTGCAACTGAAGTGAATCAAGTGTTCTCACCAGAGACTGTACAGACCTCAAATCTCTATGGTATTCAGATTTCAACAACCCAGAAAACAGCTGTCAAACAAGGGCTGGAGCTGAAAGAAACCCCTCCCAGTAGCAGTGGGAACAGAACTGCTGTCCAAGGTGACCACCCACAGCTGCAGCTCTCCCTTGCTATTGGGCTGGATGATGGGAGTGCAGAGCAGGAGAGGACCCGTCCTGCTGCCCAGGCCTTGGAGGAGCACCAGAAGCCCGCAGTGTCCATCAAACAGGAGAGATGTGATCCAGAGTCTGTGATCTCCCAAGGCCACTCCTCGTCCTCATCAGAAGTGACTGGCCCCTCTTTTACAGAAAACAGTATCAAAGTCCACTTATGCCATTACTGTGGGGAGCGTTTCGAATCCCGTGGTAACCTGAGACAGCACCTCCATACTCATGTGTCTGGATCTCTCCCATTTGGTGTCCCTGCTTCCATTTTGGAAAGTAATGACCTGGGTGAAGTGCATCCACTTAGTGACAGCAGTGATGCTCTTGACTGCCGGAGGCTTAGCTCCTTCATTGTCAAGGAGAACGAGCAGCAGCAGCCACCGCCCGAGCACTCAAGCCGGGGAACCGCCGAGCCTTTACAGATCAGTCAAGTGTCTGTGATCTCCAAAGACACAGAGCCAGTAGAATTAAACTGTAATTTTTCTTTTTCAAGAAAAAGGAAAATAAGCTGTACCATCTGTGGTCATAAATTTCTTCGAAAGAGCCAGTTACTGGAACACATGTATACACATAAAGGTAAATCTTACAGATATAACCGATGCCAAAGGTTTGGAAATTCACTGGCCCAGAGGTTTCAGCAGTATTGTGACAGCTGGCCCGATGTCCCCCTGAAAAGTTCTCGCTTGTCACAAGAACATTTAGACTTGCCTTGTGCCTTAGAGTCAGAGCTCACACAAGGAAGTGTGGATACCATCCTTGTCGAGTAGCAGCTTCTCCTTTAGAATTTTTATACCAGTCTTGGAAAAGATTCATACGCCGTTTTTAATTCATAAATTATTTACTTCCTCATGGTCTGTTGACTTAAAATAATCTGTCCCTGGCTTTGAGGTTGTACATACCAGTTCTTATTATAAGACATGGCTATTAAATGTAACTTTCCAATTATCCTATGAACTTTTCTATAAATTAAATGATAATTTGAAAATCAGAAGTTAATGTATAAACTTCAAAGTGACTGATTATTTATAAAATCTCTTGTTTTTCCAGGTTACAGAGTCAGTAAAATGAACTTGCATATGAAGCAGATGAGATCTGTTTTAAAGAATGTTTTAGAGACCGGGAGTGAAGCTCATCTGTAGAGGGCTTGCCTACATGTATGAGGCTCTAGGCTGAGTCTTCAGCGCACACATGTGTTCACAGACAAACACACTTCAAACCATCACTCTTGTCTCATGTTTCATATGAATTATGTCCTCATGAAAATGACTTTTAAATATTTTCTGACATATAGGAAATCAATAGTTATTTTAATGTATAGCTATATATTATAATGTATAAAAAGTTTGTTCTAAGACACGGCTATACCAAATCATGAGTAGTTTTAACTGTCTACTTCCTAGTACCCCAGTCTCTTACATGGCCTCTTATTTAATTAACATCAAGTATACCTCATTTTTAATAAAAATATTCCAGCTAGAAGAAAGGACTGGAGAAGCCAGTGCTAAGGAAGTCTTGGAAAGAAAAACCAGTCCATACATATGTCCAAGCACAGAGGCAGGCTCTGAACCATCCCTGGGCCGGTGAGCACAGCTACTGTGTCTTTACACACCCAAGGGCAGTTTCAGATTTCCATAGCAAGAGTTTTGCCTAGATTTAAAGAGAAAAATAAGATACAAGCCATCTCTCTAGCTTAATGCAGCAAAATTGTCTAGGCTGTCTGGGTTGGTGGTAATTTTCTGAAAGTCACTCTTACAGGTAATTTTGCAGTAGTGTGGCTTTCACTTCTTCTGTTAGTAAAACCAGTGAAGTAGATACATCCAGTGTTCCAGGTCTATTTAAAACCCACGCTGGCAGCTCTCCTTCTGTGGATATACTTAACTTCTCTTCTATAGTGGTGACTTAGAAACCTAAAACCCCAGAGAAATGGAGTTGATGGACTAAGTGATGGATTTACTGTACCTAAAAAATAGCCCATCAAATTTCATTGTGTTTGAAGTGTTTAAATTTGAAGGTCTGCACTCAAGGATAAGAAGGCAAGAAAGACTGCAGGACAGCCCTCCTCCTTCCCCTATCCTATTAAAGTCTAAGCTTCACAGACATTGGAAGAGCATCTGAGATGGACCTGACCCCTGCCCGCCCCCAAGTTTGGAAACAAGAGTCTTGGTATGTGTCCCAGGTTGGCCTTAAACTCTTGGGCACAGCAGTTTTCTGTTTCAGTTTGCCAAGTAGCCAGGACCTTGGGCATGTGCCATCGCACAGATATTTGAATACATCTAATAAATGTGATGCTTAGATTTTAGCCACATGCAAAGGCTGAGCTGCTCCTGCCCTGATAGAACACCTCTGAAGACATTTCTTAGAGGTTCTTCCCCCTGTCTGTGGGGAGCCTAGAGTAATCCAGCTAATTCTGAAACAAAAGTCCTTTCTGGGTAAACAATGAGTTCAGACAAATAACAAAGCAGTGGTTTCAGAGACAATGTTGCCTGCCTCTTGTCCCAGAACTCAGGAGGTTGATCTCTTGTGAGTTCAAGGCCAGCCTGGTTTGTAGAGTGAGTTGTAGACCAGTTAGCTACATAGTGAGACCCTGTTTCAAACAAACAAAAATCACACATGCAAACCACATACCAAACCAAAGTAGCAGTTTCCTTGTCTTTAGTTTTTGAGACATTCTTGCTACATGGCCCATTCTGACTTTGAACTCACCATCTTCCTCCCCTGCCTTCTTAGTGCTGGGATTATGGGCTGTACCACCAGCCAGGCTTCAGAGTGGTAACTTGAGAGCCAGGTGAAGAACCCCATTGGGTGTTGTCTTAAGGCAGCTGAATTTCTGATTTAGAGACTTAAGCCCCTGGGGTCAAGACCCATGTATAGAGAGCAAAATCTATTTAGAGGGGTTGGTTAAACAAGTATGCTGTTATGGGGGGATTACAATATAATGCTACCTTCAATGATTTAACCTTATAGAAACTCAAATACCAATTTAATATATTTTAAGCTATTTAGGATATATTTCCTACTTTTAATTTTTTTTAAGGATACAGTGTCATGTTTAGCCCAGGCTGGCCCCAAACACACTATATAGCTGAAGATGGTTTTAAACTCCTGATCTGCCTGCTCTTCCTCCAGGCATTGGCACTATAGTTGTGCCCCCCATGCCCAACTCTCCTTAGCCTTCTCAAATATAAAAGAACCTAACAATTTTCATTTTAATCTTTTCATCTTTTCTGTAATCTTTCTTGTGTACCAAGTCATTAGTCTTACACATGAGGCCCTTATATAGTTAAAGGGTCCGAATAGAGGCTTTCAGGGTAGGGGAGTAGGTACAGCAGCTCAAGACAGTCTAGAGAGATGCTGAAAAAGCTTACCTACAGCTGACGGCCATGTCAGACACTTCTACTTAAAGTGGAACTATGATGTGGGATTCCCCTCTGTAGGCTGTGAATATGTTTTATAAAAATGGGTTAATTCAAGATGTAAGAGCTAACTAGGAATACACTAGAGTCATTGGCCACACGGTGCTGTGATTAATATAGCTTTTGTGTGATTATTCGGCTCTGGGCAGCTGGGAAATGAACAAGCAGTCTCCGTTTACAGAACCGTATGCAGAAGAGTTAATAAACATATGTTAGTAAATGAAATGGAACCCTACCTAGAGTCTGGGGAGGTGGCTCAGCGAGTAAAGTCACCGCTGCTCACAGATTGGAAGCTGAGGTGAGAGCTAGGTATGGCGCCTGCCGTCCCAATGCTGGTGGGGAGCAGAGACAGGAAGACGGCAGATGCTCTCAGGCCAGCCCCACAGAAAGAAGCTCCAGCTTCCAAGAGACCCGTGTCTCAAAACCTGAGATAGAGAAGTTATTAGGAAAGATGTGTCACCAGTCTCTGGTCTCAACACATGCCTACACGTGTGCACACACCCACACACATGCATATCCCACACACACATACAGAATAAGTGGAAGTCTATGAGTTTGGAGAAAATATTAGTTCACCTGGTTCCTAATGCTCTTAAAGTTCTCTTGTCCCAAGAGATTCCTCTCATTTACAAAGCTCCTTTTAATACCAGGCCAAAAAGACAAAATGCTGGGTCTTGCTCATCTGTAACCCCAGCTGTCAGTAGACTGAGGCAGGAAGAGCAGGAAGAGCTACATGGTGAGACCCTAACTCAGTCCGCAATAATTGTTTTAGGAAGTGGAGAAATGTTAGTTTCATTTTATGGAAAAAGTTCCCTAAAGCTTGTTTTTACAGAGGCATGTAGTCAGTGGGATGGCATCTGCTGTCACTTTGTTTTGATTTTTAAAGATTTATTTATCTTTATGTTACATGGTATGTGTTGAGTGTTTTGCTTGCATGTGCTTCTGTGCACAGCATGTGTGCAGTGCCCGTGGAGGCCAGGAAAGGGCATCAGAGCCTCCGGAACTCAAGTGGGTGTGGGAACTGAGCCCAGGTTCTCCTCTAGGGCAGCAAGTGCCCTTAAACACTGAGTCATCTCTCCAGCCTGTTTTGGTTTTTTGAGGTGAGGTCTCACTGTATGGCCCATGCTGGCCCAGAACAGTCCCTTGTCAACCTCCTAAGGGCTGGGATGGCATACATGCACTGTCATGGGTAGTTTTGGTTTTGGTTTTTTAAGGACATGATTTGTCATTGTGAGGGAGGGGAAAAGTCTTCATATTTTAAAAGTTTTTTCAGGAAAACAGCTTTGCTCTTTACCACATCTGTAAAATGGAGATTTGTCTCTGTCTTAGCAGTGTGGTTTGTGTAATGGTTGCCGAGTTGAGCCAGGAATTGTCTGCTGGATGTACTTTGTTGCCTAATGTCGCCCTCTTGTGTTGAGGTAGATAATCTCTGCTGGCTAACATTTTGAAGGCACGGTGGGAAAAAAGCCCCAGTTCTTACCAACTGGCTCTGTGTTAAGCAGATATTTAATAGATCTCCACTTGGGCCAGCTTTAAACCCCCTCTTCTTCCCGGATCCTGCATCATGGTGTTTTCTGGAGAAAAGCAGAGACTGTCTCAGCATTTGTTCTTAGTGGGGGAGCCCAGTAAATACAGTCTGCCTTTTATACCAATGTTGTTGTTTTTACTGTATAGCCTTGAGATGGTTACTTCTCCTATTGACCTCCCAGATAAAGTGACACCCACCTCACAGGGATGCCGTCAGGCTTCGGACTAAAATTGTGTTAGTGCACTGATGAAAACCAACCTCTGAGGAAACTTCCATAGCTAGAGCCCTATTCAGTATTTCTCCCTGTAGATTCTAGAAAATGTTTGAAGCAGTCATGCACTACTTACTAGACAATTAGCTGAGGAAACTGTTTTTTACAAAAATACTCTGGAAATAGCAGTGTTACTTGAATTCTTACTCTACTGTTTACTCTTCGGCAAGGAAAAGGAGGATTAGCGTTGTTGGGAGTAAAATACACCACTTCAGCATTAATGAGACTTTCCCCCAAATACATTGTTTTCATAAAAAAAAAAAACAAATAAAATGGAAAAAAAGTCCCATCGTTTCTTGGATGAAGATGGTCTAAACAGTAGACGGAGGAAAGAAGAGGAATGAGGACGCTACCTAGGAGCTCGCCAAGGTTCTGTGGAACACCGCGGAAGCTCCTGACGGTCGTGAAGAGCCAGGACAGACCCTGAAGCCTGTCTGCACAGGCAGTTCTTGATACGGAAACTCGGATTCCCGACGAAGGCTTGATAGGGGTTTTTGTGGGAACTGCGCTACAAGTCGGTCGTGCAGAGATCCTTTACAGTGTAACTTGTGTGTCTTCGTGTGCTTAGGCTTTTATCTGTGACATTTCTTTATGATGCGTTGTTAAATTCCTAGGAGTGAGCCCTGTAAATGCTTCTGTGCTGAACCACGTCTGTGTAATTGGTCTTTCTTTTAACTTGGTATGGCACCTGGCCCTAAATCTGGGTGTCTTAAATGCAAGTATCCCAAACTGACCCTCATCCTAGATTGGGAGAGTCCATTGTGCTTCAGAGTGTGCGTGTGTGTGTGCGTGTGCGTGTGTGTGTGTGTGTGCGCGCGCGCACATGAGCGCGACAACTGCCCTCAGCTCCCCTGCTGTGTACGAACCACAGTAGAACAGAATAGAAACTTAAATTACTCGAAAAGAAACTCCAGCCCGGCCTGGTGCCACACATCTCTTCCAGCACTCAGGAAGCTAAAGCAGTAAGACTGTGAGATCACGGCCAGGCTGATCTTATTTCTAAAAAAAAAAAAAAAAAAAAAAAAAAAAGAGTCTGAAGAGATGCCTTAGTAGTTAAGAGCACTGACTGCTCTTCTAGAGGATCCAGATTTGTACTGAGCCACCCTGTCAGGCATCTTAACTACAGGACGATCCAACACCCCTAATTTCCAAGGTACCTGTAATTATGTGTGCGCATACCCGTGCACAGAATTAAAAATAAGCCCCAAACAAACCTAAGAGCTTATAGAATTAAAAAGGCCTAATGAAAGAATCCTCAGATTACCAGGCACACATGGCAGATGTAGGACGACAGTACGCTGCAGGGTCTTACTTCCGGGTGACGTGCCACAAATTGCCTCAGGAGTGCACTACCGAGATTTGTCTCCCAGCTGGAGTGGAAACTGACTTTCAGCTGTTTTATGGAAACATGTGACTTGATCTAGTGACAACAGAATACTGGCTTGTGGATCTTACATTACAGCAATTTCTGCCAATGGTATTACCGTTGTTGAGGTAAGTAGTCTTTGTTGGGCAACTTAAAAATGTTTTCAGTATCTGAGTATTTTTCCTGCACGTATGTATTTGTGCACCATATGGGTTCCTGGTGCCAGTGGAAGCCAGAAGAAGGTGTCTGATCTGGAAATGGAGTTACGGGTGGCTATGAGCCACTATGTATATGCTGGAAACTGAATTTGGGTCTTCTGGGAGAGGGGGACTGCTCTTAGCCGCTGAGCCAGTCCTTCCGCCCATCTTAAGGCATGAAGCAAAAGGCAAGAATGGGCCCAATTCTTACCAACCATAGCCTCTGGCAAGAGAAAAGTGCTGCCCAAACCAAGACAGTTCCACCTGGAAAGAAAGGTCCTATCTAGTCATTTCTCAGAGGCGTCTGCTTCTACTTCCTGCTTTGTACTGTTCTCTACCCCAGCCACATGGTCTACAACAGTGATTCTTAGGGTATATTAGGATTCCCAGGGAAAAGTAGTAAAGGGAAAAGATAAGCAGGTATATGTTACCTTGAGTTATGGCTGCTGTGGTGGTGCACACTGGTAATCCAAACACTTGGGAGAAAATGGCAAGAACACCATGAGTTCGAGACCAGTCAGGTCTAGTTAGTGCCAGGCCAGTTTGGGGCTACATAGCAAGTGCCTATCTCAAAACAAAACAAAACAAAACAAAAAAACGTAACTATGACCTTGACTCTTGCCTTTATGAAGAGCTGCCCTCTGTGAGCTGATTGCCAGGGAACTAAATGATGTAATTCTATTGTTAGGTCTAAAAAAGACATAAACCCGGAAGAGCTACTGGAATACGTTACAATCCCAAACTAGCAGATCCAGAATGATCTGATGGTTTCACTTTTGCCCAAAGCTAGAAAAATACGGGTCTCAGGCAGGGGAAGGTCACCTTTCTGTCCAGGTTTTCAGCTGTTAAATAAAGGCAGTCTCTTTTACCTAGTCTGCTAATTCTAGTGTTACTCTAATCCCCAAACACCACAACAAAGCCAGATGTGATGGCTGGCATTATAGGTCCAGTAAGTTAAGTTGAAGTGGGAGGACCAGCTTAGAGAGCAGCCTGAGCAAGGAGACCTTGTCTCAAAACCTAACAAAAGGCACCTTCGCACACACTAGAGCAGGGGATGTGGGTGAGGCTCAGGAGAGTGCTCGTCCAGCGCACAAAAGGCCTTGAGTTCCGTCCTGCAAAGTAATATATACATAAAAACGTCCCCCAAAGCTACCTCCAGCATATGGATGGTTGGCAATGTGGAGATGTTTGGGGTGATTAGGCCTGGGTGGAGGGCATGATAAAGTTGCTTTTGGCATCTAGTGGGTGGAGACCAAGAAGGTTGCTGAATGGGTCATAATAAAAAGGGTATCTCTCATTCCTACCCCACTCAACTGCCCACTGGAGGGTTAGTAGAGTTATGGTTGATTAGCTCTGGTCTAAAAGCTTTACATTTATAATAAATGTTTGAATGTTTGGGAGGATTTTTTTTACTTTTTTTCCTTTTCTTTTCTTTCTTTCTTTCTTTCTTTCTTTTTTTTTTTTTTTTTTGAGACAGTGTTTCTCTGAAACTTTGGGCCTGTCCTGGAACTAGCTCTTATAGACCAGGCTGACCTATGGGCTTATGAACTCACAGAGATCTGCCTGCCTCTGCCTCTCCAGTGCTGGGATTAAAGGCATGTGCCATCACAGCCTGGCTGAAGTTTGGGATGTCTATCTAGTCATTTTGGACTTAATACTGACCCAATGGAATGCATGATATGTTTATTCCAAAGTCCTGTTTGTGCTGTCCTTTTTCTTGGCTTTTAAAAGATGTTAAATTGGATTATTAAAGTCAGAAGTAGAGTTGCCGGAATGACTTAGTAGGTAAAGTACCACTTGACGAGCATCAGGACCCAAGTTTGTGTCGCCAGGACTCACATACAAAGCCTGTGCTGTTGCACACGCCTGTAAATGAAGGATGTGGTGGGGGGTGGGGGCATGGATGGACAGGTGGATTCCTGAAGGTCATTGATTCAGTGAGAGCTGTGAAGAAAGACCCGTTTGCAGCCCCACATGCACATGTGCCCTTCCACACTGAAAAGTGCATACACAACACACTACCAGCAGAAGGAAAATAAAGTTAGATATATGTATTCATCAACAACAAAATCCAGCCTCAAACACATAGTCCTCTTACCTCAGCCTCCCAAGTTCTGGGATGATAGCCGTACACTTCCACTTTCAAGTCAAGACAGTTTTAAATCTCATGTTTAAAGTAAGTAATTGGCAAAAATAAATAAATAAATAAATAAATAAATAAATAAATAAAGCAATTGGCCAGGTAGTGGTGGCACACGCCTTCAATACCAGCACTCAGAAGGCAGAGGCAGGTGGAGCTCTGTGAGTTCGAGGCCAGTCTGGTCTACAAGAGTTAGTTCTAGGACAGGCTCCAAAGCTACAGAGAAACCTTGTCTCGAAAAAACAAAACAAAATAAACAACAACAACAACAAAAAATAAAGTAATTGTATCTCTAAAGTCTGTTAAAAGAAAAATATGATTGTAATTTATAATGTGTGTGAATTTTAATCTGGCCAAAAGATGGCACCAGTGTACCATAAAAATGGTGTTCTTCCCAATTTGGCATTACCCTTCAGCTCATTTGGTGTTTGATGAACTCCTTCTGGACCCTGCCTTACCTTACAGTCAGTTCTGTTAGGTAACAGCGGCTTGACAGCCCTCTGTGCATCTGACTTACAAGGAACATATCAGCAGATAACACACTTATAGTTGTTCCATTGAATAAGCCTGAGGATTTTTGCTTATCATGAAGAGTAAGGTCATGGGATTTTATTCCAATGACACTGACTCTCCTAATCATGTCAACTCAGTTAATATTTACCTGCTTGAGAGCTAAGTGGAGACATTCAAGAAAATCCTACCTTGCTTGGTTCGTTCTTTCTTTCTTTCTTTCTTTCTTTCTTTCTTTCTTTCTTTCTTCCTTCCTTCCTTTCTTTCTTTCTTTTATTGGCATATTCATTGCACATAGTGCGGGTTTCATAGAGTCAGCTTCAAGTATATCATGTGCTTTGATGATAGTCATCCGTTCCCATTTCCTTCCCCCACCCATGGTTTCCTTTTTAATTTTTGTTGTTGTTTTTGCTTCTATCTATCTATCTACCTACCTACCTCTCTCTCTCTTTCTATCTACCTATCTAACTATCTACCTATCTATCTATCTACCTACCTACCTACCTATCATCTATCTATCTATCTATCTCCTATCTATCTATCTATCTATTTTTGGGGCAGGGTCCCTCAGTTACATAGCTCAGGCTATTCTGCAACTCATTATGTAGACCAGGTTAGCTTCAAACACACAGGGTCCATCTCCACCTCCCATGTGCTGTCATTAAGGGCATGCGCCACCACACCCAGATCACCTACCTCTTTCCTTTTATGTCATATGAGTGAGGCAGGAAACCAAGAAACAAAAGCATTCATTTTCTTTCAGCATCCATTTTACTTTTCTTAGCTTAATATCCAGTTACATCCATTTTCTGACAAATGACTGTTTTGTCTGTTATGGTTGAATGAAGCTTCTGTGTATGTCTTCCACATTTTCTTTATTGATGGACACCGAGGACCCTAACTTGGCTGTGGTGAATTGTGCTGTAGCCAGCATGGATGTGGAAATACCTCTGTGGCATGTTGATGTGGAACTGTTCAGGGTGTGTACCCAGAAGAGGCACAGGAAGAAAACAGTACTGACACGTGGGATGGCATGAGATTTAAAATCTCCTACGCAGCCAAAGCATAGTGTCACACCCCTTTAACACAGCAGAGTCAGGCAGATCTCTGTGAGTTCGAGTCCAGCGTGGTCTACCGAGCTAGTTCCAAGACAGCCAGGGATACACAGAGCGACCCTATCTCAAAACACAGAAGGAGGAGGAGGAGGAGGAGGTCCTGTAGCAAAGGAAAAGAGTAAAGGGCAATCTACGGAAAGGGAGAAGTTCTTTATTAGCTGTGCAACTGACAGGATTACTATCAAGAATATAGAAAGAACTCAAAAAGCTAAACACATACCCACTAAACAAAAACAAGCAATCCAGTCACGAAATGGGCTAATGGAAATCATGATAAACAGCCAATTCTCAGAAGAAAGAACAAATGATCAGTCAGCTTTAAAAAGTGCTCGGCATCCTTAGCCACCTCTGAGGTACAGCTGAGAGCCGCACTGAGACTCCGTCTCTCCGCAGTCAGAAAGGCTACCTCCAGAAAGCAAGAGGTGGGAAGAGGGGTCATAACCGCAGCTGGGCTCGCAGACTGGCACCGCCCCTAGAAACCGGTGTGAGCTCCCTCAAAGCAGCCAGAACTGCTATTCACCTTGCCTCCCCTTCCCTTTCCTCCCACACATGCTACCTGCAGGTCAGCTGGTGGCCTTTCAAAACTACAGTTTCTGACACCTGCAGGGATGCCCTTCGGTTCCCTCCTTCCTCACTTCTACCCAAGTCCCCCTTTAATAGTTTCAGCTCTCATCGGCTGCCCTTTTTAGCTCTCCGCCCCCCTGTCTGCAGTGTTCTGACTAGTATTCTCCTCTGACTAGTGCTTAAGTTTCTGTACAGCTGAGCTTTCTTGAGAAATGACTCCGCCTTTCCTCAGATAAATTGTCTGCCAGTGTTTACATGATGTTAGACCTTTTTCTGTTGAAACAGTTTGGTGATATGGTATCAAAATAACAAAGTATCCCTTAAGCTATCAATCCCATGGTGTTCCTTCCTGTCAGAAACCTGAAGGAATGGCAGTCTGTAGGAGAATTCTGGTATGATCTTTGTCCCCTCTCTTCCGGGGACTAGGAGCCCCGACATCCGGGCAGCCCTTATCCCTGCTGCTGTCTGCTGTTCCACCTGCAGGAAGGTTTAGGGGAGATCCATGTGTACCTCATAGGCCTTTGAAGAAGGGAACTTGTGAATTCAGCTCTGCCACAGTTTTCTGTGGTGAAAGCTGTCCAGAGTCTAAGTCCTACGTAGATTAAAAGTATGAAGGCAAGAGAGAAAGTTCTTTAATGCACACAAAGGCCTGGAGGGAGAGGGAAAACTCAAAACTCTTCTAAGGCTGAACCTGCCCTCCCTCCCTCCCCCTCTCACCCCAGGCCTGCGGGCTCAGGTGCTTTAGCACAGCGCTTCCTGATTTGTTTACTTTTGGTTTTCTTTCCCCCTTGGGTTCCCAGTCCTCTTGTGTCAATGCTTTCAGTGTGCAAGGATTATAGGTGGACACCACCACACCCAGAATAACACACACACACACACACACACACACACACATACACACACAATCCCTCATGCGGTGCTGGGCATTAAGCCCAGGGTCTTTTGCTCTCACCCAGGCTGGGCAAGCACTCCCAGGAACACACAGTCCTTCCTGCTCCCTGTTTCTGTGCTTTAATCTGAGAAAAAAGTATAAGGCATGAAAGCCCACTCTTCGGCACCTGTGTGGATGTATCCTGCCCCCGTGTCTACACACAGAACACCCCAATGGCCAGAGATTATACTCAGTACAACTCGGGGAACAGAGCTCACCAGTGAACACTTTTGAGGTTGGCTGTACGGCCGCACAGTGGGCTGTGCCAGCCTTGCCCCGCTTTCTCCTGCCATATTTTTATTAATTTATTAGTGGCTACAGGTTCAATACTCAGATAGCATTTGCGGTGGTTACTCAATTTGTTTTTAATTTTTTTTTTTGTAAAGGGTGTCTTGGGACTGTTATGTAGACCAGGCTGGCCTCAAATTCACAGAGATCCTCCTGCCTCTGCCTGGGATTAAAGACGTGTGCCACCACACCCAGCTGGCTAATTTTGATTGACCACACCTAGGGGGCAGCTTCTCGGCACATCTGTGAGAGGTTATGTGGATCAGGTTACTGGAGTGGGAAGACCCACTTTAACTATGGGTGGCCCCTTGCCATGAGCTGGGGCCCTGTGCTGAACAAACAGAGGAAAAGAAGCTGAGTGAAGCTGAGTGCCGCTGTTCATCCTGTTTCCTGAGGTGCACCCAGTGTGACCAGCTGCCTGAAGAAGTCCATGGCTTGGACCTGTCTCCTGGGTGCATCACAGCCAACTTGACTGTGACATGAAATGTGAACCTGCACTTACTCCACCCCACCCCACCCCCGAACTCATGATGGGACTGTAGGGAACCCGCACTCTTGGTGGCAAGTACAGTCTGTAAAGATCCTTCTATTAGGAAAATTTATTTCATAAAGCTTTATCCCGAGGGTGGTGACATTCTCATAACCCCAGCCCTCACGAGGTACAGGCAGAGGCAGGAGGACCTCAAGTTTGGGGCCAGCCTGAACTACACAGACCCTGTCTCATATAACAAAAATAACCTTTGAAAAACCCTCGAGAGTAAGGTGTTGCCAACGGCTTTAATCCAAGCACTAAGGAAAGAGAGGCAGGTAGATTCCTGTGAGTTCGAGGCCAGCCTGGTCTACATAGTGAGTTCCAGGACAGCAGGGCTACATAGAGTGACCCTGCCACAAAGACTAAAACAATAGTGATAATAATGATAGTAATAATAAAACAAAATTTTGAAGAACATGAAATTGACTATGTTTGTGTTGTGCTTGTGTAACACCAGGCAGTCAGGGAAGCACACAGCCAGATGTAGCTTCAGGATCTTGAAAATGCTACCAACTCTTCAATGGGTCCTGAGATTTGGAAACTACAAATCACATAGGACCCAATTATTGCCATTAAGTTGTAGTTAGAAAAGGGCAGAGGCCAAGCCTAAGGGTGCATGCCTGTAATCCCAGCACTTGGGAGGTGAGGCAGGAGGATGCTCAAGGCTTGCCTGTCGTACGGTACAATGAAAGCAGTAGTGGGAGCAGAAGGGAATGAGGGCTTGAGGAAATCAAACTGGTGAAACAAGCAGCTGAGGTTGATACCATGGGGCTAACATAAGCCCTTCCACACTGTGGCTCGTTTACGAAGCCATAAGGATTACTAACAATTCATAGACCAGCAATACAGAAAAGACAGGCTGGGTGGTGGTGGCCCACACCTCTCATCCCACCACTTGGGAGGCAGAGGCAGTTGGATCTTGAGTTTGAGGCCAGCCTGGTCTACAGAGTGAGTTCCAGAACAGTCAGAGAAACCCTGTTTCAAAAAACAACAAACAAACCCCGCCAAAAAGCCCCAGAAAAGCAACTGATGCAATAGGTAAGAAACAGTGAAACCTTCCCTTTTGTTTGTTTGATTTGGTTTTGAGGTCTTGGGGACTGAGCATGTCGCTTTGCCACTGGGTTCCAGCGCCCAAAGTTCAGATGGCATCACATGCAGAACTGTCTGTTCTTAGAGTGTCTGTTCAGAGTTCTGTTTGCATTTCTTTGCTGGAGGTGAACTCCTTTAGGCCTGGGTTGAAATGTCTCTGTAATCCCTACCAGAGTGGAACTTTCTATAGAACTAAATTTTCTCGTTAGTGTGATCTTTACAGTTTTAGGAAATGAATATAATTTACCATATTCCTTTTTAAAGACACAGATAAAATAAATAAGTTAATATAACATTTATTCTGTATTCCTCAGTACATGAATTAATTCAACTTGAAAACTTTTTCTCTACAGAATATTATCTCTTGAATATGTGCCTCTGATTCACAGAAATACCAATTTTAATGAGGATACAAAATGGTTACTCTTACTTTTTAATGGCTCATCCACTTAACATTTCTACAGGCAACGACCTGACATGTGTGGCATTATACAGGCCTTCTTCCTGCACCTGGTCACAAATCAGAATGAATACAGTGTTTGTATTCAGACTGCCGCTATATTCAGGCCCCCCCCACCCCCGTTCCAGACAGAAACACCCTTTCTACTTCCCTGATTGTCATTTATCTTTTTGCTTTGTCTGTGGCTGCTTTTCCCCATCCTGGCTTCTGTTGCCACTTCTTTCCTTCCAACACAGACACACACACATACACATACCATGCCCAGGATGAGCTGTGGGAGGTCCTACTACCAAGACATCGATAGGCATTAAGCCTAACACATGTTGGATCTAACTTAATCGGGGCACCCATACTTTGTGTAGATTCATCCTAGTAAACTTTTGTCAAGGATCATTACAAAAAAATTCGTGTTAAAAATATGTGATAAAATGCAGTATAGATTGAATATTTTAATTCCGTATATGAAACTTTGTTATACAGTAAGACAGGAATTTGAACCTAAAGAACTCTACAGTTTAAATGAAGATATTAAAAAAATGCAAAAATGGCAGGCAGAAAAGTCAAATCCTGGCGCAGTTAGTATTAAACTAAGAAGTAGAACACACTTACTCAGTAAAGCCGACAGAAGGATCTTTTCAAACAACAGGGTTCGAAAGTCTAACAATTGTTTTAAAAAGTCTGACACAACCCCTAAAAAATTCTCAACTATAAAAATTAAGGCAAATTGAAGATAGACATTTGCCGATGGAACGAACTCTGGGCCATGTGTACAGGCAAGACTGGCCCAGGCCCTTCTCACAGGCCAAGAGCCTCACCTCATCTCAGAAATAAAGCCGGGTCTCAGACGCCACCAAATAGTAGACCAATTAAGATCATTGCCATCTCCGCGCTGTCAAGCCCATTGCCGTGGAGGAGAATTATGCAGACAGCTTCTCTGAAGAGCTCCGTTCGTGCCACATGCTCATTATTCTTGGAGGTGGAGGAGGTGGCAAGGAACATGATTTCTGCTGGAAAGTTCTTTTGTTTTCTGCTACCTTTACTTAAATGTTACCAGGTACTATTTTTAATATCCTAAAAAGTGCTTTGAAAAAAAAATGTTAAGGGAATAGTGACACACACACACACACACACACGCACACACACACACCTAGGCAAGTGCTCATATTCTCTGTGTTGTAAGTGGAGTGAATAATGCTCAACTCTTAAGGGGATGAAGATAATACATTGAAAAATTGTTAAGTATCTGATAAGCCCCTCTGCCTTCAAAAAGAAATTAGAATCTAGCTGATAAATGTTCATTAAAGGCAGATTTCAATTAAAATTACTGTGAGTGATTAACGATGCCTAAATTGATGCCTTTAAACTGGTTGGTTTAAGGCCAAAAAGGGTGTAAATTGAATTAGAATCTTTCTACATATTTTTCACAGGTCAAACTGCTTGAAATATATCCTATCATAATAAAATATTTTATAGTAGACTTCCAAGCTATCTGATTCCTGCTTTTTTTTTATAACAACGGAACAGTTTGGATCACCCCAAATTCCTCTATAATTTGGCCACATAGCAGATATTTCAGATTGCAACCCACTGATGAATTTCTGCATCCTGTTTCCAGATAGAAACACTCTTTAAGTCCCCAGAGAAGCCAGAGAAACTAATTAAGAATGAAGTATTCTATTTCCAGATGGAAATTCTCTTTAAGTCCCTAGAAAAGCCAGAGAAACCAATGAAAAATGAAGAATATATTTTCTTATAAAAACAATCAATCAATCACAATGGCTCCTAACCAAAGGTGTATTTATCAAACAGCAGTGTAAGGAACACACACACACACACTAAAACTTGAAACTTGGGGCTACTTTTTTACCCCCCAAATTACATAGTTAGTTTCTGTTTTTCAAAATCCCCAAATCTAAAATACCCTTAATAATTGCTAAGTGCTGTATATTTTATAGCTTTTTCTCATTCATAATAGATTATTAGGGACTTTAATACAAGTATATTAGCTTGGAGCCATTCTAATAGTAAATAGATACAGGATTATTTAAAATACTGCAAAGTGCACCAACCTTAGTCAGGCATTTAAAACTGTTCATTTTAAACATATTTGCTGGTAGCTATACAAGTCTATTAGCACCATACACAGTGGGTTATTCTCTCAAAGATGATTTAGCAGTGATTTGGTTTCATGTCTAAAAGGTACACAATTAAAAGAAATGTATTGAGGGGCAGCCGTGTGTTTTTATCTTTCTAAATTGAATGATGCCCCCATCGCCCATTGAAAACATAAAGACAGGCAAGCCTGAAGAAAAGAGTTTCACATTCCAGCAAAGAATCTTGCTAAACATCCACCATTTTGTTAAATTCCAAAGCCACGTTGGTTACTTCTGTAAGAGATCACAATATGTATTTACAAAACAAAGCAATGTACACATATGCAGTTCATCATCACTGTGAAGTGCAGAGCAGATGGAAACCATTGGTGCTCATGCCTCCGGAGGATGCTCTCCTCCATCAGCCACCGTCCCGTCCGCACGGCCTTTAACATCATCACTTGGGTTCGATAGTGGAGCGGGGTGCTGTACAGTATGAACCCTAACCCGCGGGGCTGAGAAGCATGTAACACTATCATGGCTAGACACATCGAAAAAACACTGGTGTTGAAAAAATCTATGCTTCAGCATGAATTTTGACTTTTTATTCAGTTGTATACATAGTTCCCGTTTGGCCAAGAAGAAATACTTTCACAAGGATATTACGGTTTTCCTGGGCCTCCAGAAGTCGTTTCACTAGAGGGAATCCTCCGTCGTCTGGCAAGTTTGCCTTCTGGATGAAACATACTATTCCCTTTATGTATTTGGTTCTAACGTCTCAGCAGATAGTCCACACAGAGATGGGTATATACAAGTCTGCTGGGCAGAAGAGGGGTGAGAAGAAAACACTCTCCTGGTTGCCACGCTTACACACTCTTTAACTACCCGCCTGGCGGAAGGAACCTGTGACTGGCTTTTGAAAGGAGCTTGTGCGGGACTAGAAACCCCCTCACCTGACTCACCGTTAGAAAATATACTGTAAGAGAAAAGCGAAGGCAGCGTTCGCCTTTACACAGGGTCGACCCATCAGAAAAAAACCCAGACTTCGTGACGGTAGCGAACAGCAGGGAGCGTACAGCATACCCAGGGCTCAGTAAGTGGCCTTCCTCAAAGGACTCATCGCCGGTCACTTCTGCACCTTCCTGTATGTCACTGCGTGCTGTGATCTGGGCTGACTCCTTCCAGTCAGAAGCGACTGTGTTTGGGTGAGTTTATAAACTTCATTTATTCTTCAGCCCTTCCGGGTTGGAACCGTACCTTTAAATTCCACAGATGGAATTTATGACTGAGAAAGAAGTGTCACAAATGTATAAAATAATTCATCTTTAAAGTTTTTTTTTTCCCTTTCCCATGATCTGGAAACGAAGTCACTGTAACAGAGCATTTATTTTATTATCCTCGGAAACCATTTCATTAACCAGCTGTTCTACAGACAACTGGATGGCATTCTTGACGAGGGAAGAGGCTGTTTCTATTAAGAGTGTTTCATATTGTTCTGAAGTTCTCCCTTCGAAATCACTATCATTAGCAAAAACCCCTACTTGCTCATTTTCCACTGAAATTAGGAATTGCTTAGGGACATTTTTAGATTTCTTAACATCAAATTCACTGATTTCAGTGTCTGTAATGATAATAGCAATTGGCTCCATTCTTTTGCATTCCTCTGATCTGGGTTTCTCTGTGTCAGTTCCATTTTCTTTCAGATCTGGTGCCTGGGCCACTGTAGCCTCGTCTGCCTGGGCCACTACAGTTTCCTCCACCTGGGCCACAACAGCTTCCTCCGCCTGGGCCACGGCAGCTTCCTCCACCTGGGCCACGACAGCTTCTTCTGCCTGGGCCACGACAGTTTCCTCTGTCTGGGCCACGAGAGCTTCCTCCATCTGGGCTACGAGAGCTTCCTCTACCTGGGTCATGGCAGCTTCCTCTGCCTGGGCCAAGACAGCTTCCTCCGTCTGGGTCACAGCAGCTTCCTCTGCCTGGGCCACTACAACTTCCTCCGCCTGGGCCACTACAGCTTCCTCTATCTGGGCCACAGCAGCTTCTTCCGCGTGGGCCACAGCAGCTTCCTCCGCCTGGGCCACGACAGCTTCCTCCACCTGGGCCACGACAGCTTCCTCTGTCTGGGCCACTACAGTCTCCTCCACCAGGGCTACGACAGCTTCCTCTGCCTGGGCCATGACAACTTCCTCTGCCTGGGCCACTACAGCTTCCTTTGCCTGGGCCACGACAGCTTCCTTTGCCTGGGCCACTACAGCTTCCTTTGCCTGGCCCACGGCACTTTTGTGTGCCTGGCTGACAGCAGCTTCCTCTGCCTGACTCAGTGGGGTTTCTTCCCCCTGGCCCTGCACAATGTCACTTGCTTTCTTTTCTTCAGCAGCACCCTTTCTACTTCTGTCATCTTTCGCACTGGGTGCGCGGTCTCGGACGGTGTCACTGGGTTTGTCGACACCACGTTGATACGCGGTGGCTGGTGAGGCGGGAACATGAGAAGCCACTGGATGGGGGCTGTCTACTTCTGAACTTGCTTGCTGCGCCTGTACACTTGGTTTTTCCTTAATCACTTCAGCTTCCTTTTCCAGCACGGGAGTTCCCATCTGAATAGCAGAAGACTCATCTTTTAATTCCAGTTCTACGGAAATCACATTCTCTCCAGATGTGGTGTTGCGGCTGACCTGCGGTTCTTGGACATCTTTACCATCTTCCACCAACACACCTTCCTGTGGGCCCTGTGTGGACTTAGCCTGGCTTGTCCGGTCAGCCGGTTGGGTCTGGGGTTTTGTCTCCAAATCGTCAGTCCCTCTCTGCTGGACTCCAGTGTTGTAGTCTGCGTCTTCTGTGAGTTTAGAATGACGACTTCTCTTTGCCCCTCTTGAGAATCTTATGCAAGGAATCTTAAGTCTGGATTTTGCCTTTTTCTTAGGAAGAGCTGCATCCTCGGGCTGTACTTCAGCTGCAGATGGCTTCTGCTTCTTCGAAGACTCTGACCTTTTCCCAGGTGTCACAAAGCGTTTGATGGAGGCCCAGGCCCCGGCTGGCTGTGGCTGATCAGAGGCCCCGGCTTCTGGAGGACATGTCTTGGTCCCCTCGGTGGTCTTGGAAGCAACCTTAGACTTCATCTTGCTTGCTTTCTTCCTTCTCTTGAAGCAGAGCGTGGCTCTGTTCCTTTCCTGCCTCTCTTTCTGAGGACACACAGCCCCCGGCTCCTTTTCTTCCTTCGTTTCTATCTGAATCTCAGAAGCTCCGCTGTCCATTTTTACGCTAGACTCTTTCATTCTCTGAGGAGCGTCTTCTCTTTTCTTCTTGAAGTCCTTTGTGACAAAAATATCACACCAAGCCCGGTTTCTCCTGGGTGTCCACCCTGCTTTCACTCCACAGCTGTTTCGACGGCTTTTCAGGACACAAACGCCTTGTTTGTTGCTTACGATTTCTTCCTTTAATTTCCCCTTTGAATGAAAGCTCTTTCCTGGGTAAACTTCTCTATTCAAAGACCAACCTGAGAAGAGAAAAGAGTGGGGTTTTATTTCAGCACAAGCCTAGTATTTTTCATACAAACTGCATCATGTGGGGCATATGCTCCACAGAACATACCGGAACAATCATGGCTGCAAAGTGAGGCTTGCTTTTGCCCTATCGAAGAAAAGATTCCAGTGTGAACCCATTTTGCTTTATCGTTTTTGTTAAAACTTCGTTAGAGGTCACTCTGCACGTATGCCCTTCCTTTGTTGACTTCTCCATGAATTAATTGTTCATGGCCCCACACAGAAAGTTTAGCAAACACAAAAAACAACAGAGGGCCGGGTGATAGGGCAGCTGGACTGCTTTCTCATTGCATCCAGCGAAGAACTGTTGGGACTTAGAGATGACTCGAGATTAATCAAGTCGAATCCAATGACAGAACTAAGCTCCCAAGTGGAGAAAGTGCAGAAAGAGTAGAAAGCCTTAGGCTAGATGAGGTCCTAGCCAGAGTTGGAAGCAGAAATCTTGACTCTCTGGTATTCTTCCTCCTGTAGCATACGGTTTCTGTTCTAAAAATGGACATCCCATCAAGGAGGTGCTACTTTCCATACACACTCAGAAAAACCCAGCATTGCTGTCTTTCTCCCGTCCTCAAGCCGTTGTGTAACTCTGACATTCCCCCCCCCCCCCCGCCCTGCAAGCGTCTGCCACTCACACTTTCCCGCTGTAACTGCGCAGAGCTGGAGGTAAGTAAGTGAGGTCATAGCCAACACTGCTTGTGCAACTCTTGTGTACGAGGCGGCGTGGAGCACTTTCACAGGCATCTCTAACCTGCACCACAGTACCCCGGAGTGAGGAGGTGGTGAGATCTCCATCTGCAGTTAAGCAGCCTGCCTGAGATTACAAAGCTAGTCAGCCACAGTGCTCAGATTTAGCCCGAGACTGCCTGCTTCTGAAGCCCGTGCTTTAGTTCCGTGAGACAGTGGAGCGTTTTAAAACTCGCATCCGAGGCTGGTCGCGGTGGTGCACGACTGCCATTCCAGCGTGTGGGAGGTGGAGGCAGGAGCATGAGCCAAGGTCATCCACAGCTATATAGTGTAGTTGAGGCCAGTGCTGGCTACGTGAGACCCTATCTCAAGAGACAAAAGCGTAAAACTATGCTTTGGATCTGGGCACAGAGCTCAGTGATAGAGCATTGGTTTAGCATGCCACGAGGTAAGGGATTTGATCCCCAGTGCCACCCAAAAATATCAATCTACAGAATAGAATGGCTTAAAGAATGGGGACATAGGGTGATTACCCAACAATTCTATGGATTTTAGTTGACAGATGTCCTAAGTTAGGCAAATTATTCTGCTCGCATGTAAATTTTTCACTGCTCTCTCATTTGGGTACCAGCTCCTAATTCTCTGTAGAACTGGAACCCTGAAAAATCACTTTAAGATCTAAGGAGGTTTTTTTTTTTTGGGTAGGTATTGCACGTTTCATCTTCCTGCAAAGAAATATAAAATTCTAGAATAATGATGGAACCAAAAACCACGTACAGTCTCTCCTCACACACCCTTTATAAGCACTAGAGCCCGGTCTTAAGGGCTCCAAGCCTGAGCAAGTGTTCCTTCTAAGCAGAGGATGTACGGATAGAAGAAATATTTAAATGCCATCATATCCAGAAAGTATCTGAAACTAACCTGAATGGCCTAGGGGTTTGCATGAGAGGCTTCTCTGAATGTACATCACTGTAGAAATGAGCACCCCAACAAGTGTATCCGAGGCACGGAAAGGATGCAGCCAGCAGAAGTTAAAACTTTGCAGACTGTTAAGACTGCAAATGATTCGCCTTTACCTTCGAGTGGAGCACGATCGCCTTGGAAACCTTAACGTCCCTGCTCTCCTTCGCTAGCAGAATCTCATGTCTAAGGCCACAGAAAACAACCACCACCCTTTCCCCTTCTTGGGCAGCAAGAGCAAGGAACCTTCCCCAGCACCAGACACGAACCGCTAAGCTTCCTCCTGGAGGAAGGACTCTATCCTCCAGGCTTGACACCCCTGTGCAAGAGACAGGGCTCAGGAGAAAGTGCTCAGAAAGGAAAATACCGGAGGCGTGGAAGAGATAGCCCAGCTTTAAGCTATCTGCAGAATTATCATAGACCGGAGCCGAGAATCACAGTTCCCCAAAAAGCCTTGAAGAAGGAAAAAGGCTAGGTAGTCGGTGCCAAGACTCCAGCAGCACCGCGTGCGAAGCGAGCGGACGGCAGAACTGCCCAGAGTCACCCACCTGGAGACGCCGGAGGACCAGGCGACCTTGCAGTCCGCGCCCCTCGCTGTCTGGTGACCCGAACCCCGGGTATGCCGCCGCCGTCACCTGCCCACCAGGGACTCAGTGCATCCGATCCTGACCCAGAGCCTCTGGTCCTGCCTCCACTTACCCAGAGCGTCGCGGTCTCGGGCCAGCTCTGTTCCGAGGTCGGGGCGCAAGGGCTCAAACAACGGGGAGCTCCGGAAGCCGCAGAGCGCGCATACCTCTGCAGAGGGACCGCAGCCGCGCGCCCCCTCCCCAGTGCGGAGAGAGACAGCTGGCGGCGCCAATGCGAGCGGAGCAGCGGGGCGGGGCGAGGGCCGGGGGCGGGGTAAACCCAGCCAGCCACCTGCCAGCAGACTGCCCGGCCGCCTGGAAGAGACCTTCGTGCTCCCGCCCCGTACGCAGCCCCGCTGCATAATGACATCAGGGTCTGGGTGAGGGACCAGCAAGGCAGAGCAGGAGGACCGCAAGGAGAAGAGAGGAGAGGACCCCTCATTTCCTGAGACTCACAGTCGCAAAAAAAAAAAAAAGCCCGTTTGAAAATGCGAGGCGCCCACCATAAATTCCTCTCGAACATTAAAAACAAGGTAGACAGTTTATCATCAAAGAAAGATTGATGGGGTGGAAAAGATGGCTCAGCGGTGAGCAGCACCTATTTCCTTTTCCAGGGGACTCGAGTTCGATCCCCAGCACCCACATCAGGCGGCTCACAACCACCTGTAACCAACTCTACAGGGATATCTTGCTTCTGTGGGCAAAATACACTCGCATGCACATGCCCACTCTCCCTCCATAACTAAAAATAAAATTAAAAAGCAAGACTCATAACCTTGAGAGAATCATAAGGGGTCGTCTGGAAAATAAAATATTTTGAGACAGGTCTCAGTATCTAGCTCTGGCCGACCTGGCACTATGTAGACCAGGATGGCACCCAACTCACAGAGATCTACCCACCTCTGCCTCGGGAGCCACATCTGGGTAGAGAGAAAGTTATGGATATGGTAAGAAACTGAAACAAAAACAGCTCTGTCAAACAGGACCCCAGACCTGCAGAGGCCAAGCTGAGGTCTGCTGGAGGGATGTGGTCATCATAGAGCACAACTGAGGGGCGCATAGAACACCCCCCCATCTGACGTCTCACATCAGAAGCACAGTTTCGTTAGCATTTCTTAGGGGTTGCTCACCGCGTTCCTCTCAAGTGGGGATGTAGATAAGGGCTCTTGCCATTCCAGCCCCATTTGGAGCAGAGGGTGCAGGCAGAGTCCACACTCCGGAGCAGGAAGGTGTCGCGTCGGGTGAAAAACAGCACACATACATTTCTGTGCACACAGGTGTGGCTCCCACAGCTCAGGGCCAATGGCTTGGGGTGTTTTCAAGAGCTTCAGCTAAGGTCCTAGAAATGACATTCCAGCCTCCTCCAGGGCTTTTCCTGGCCCAGAGCTCAGAAGCCCCAGGAACGTGCAAGAACAAGATCCCTTCCCTTTTTCTTGAGGGGACCGAGATCTCTGGGAGGGTTAATCTCGGACGTCCACTTGGGGATGGTTTTTCTAGGAAAATATTTTCCCTTCCTAAGATTTCTAGTCTAGACTTACTCCACCAAGACTTGATAAGGAATAAATTCTTGGGACACAAAACTGATAAAATTCTAAGTTAAGCTTGTAGATTAAAAGTTAGTGATAAGAACTGTATGTAACACAGGAAAATCAGATACAGGCAAGCTGTAATTATGGAGTTCGAAGGAGGGAGCTGCAGAGATGTTCAGAGGTTAAGAGTTCTTCCTGATTGGCAGAGGACCAGAGTTCAATTCCCAGCATATTTCAGGTCACTCATGGGCACACACACACACACTCATGCACATGCACCATTGAGGGGGCCTAAGAAGTCACTCAGTTTGTATAGCATTTGCCTGGCATGCACAAAGCCTGGAGTTTGGACATGCTAAAACATGCCTGTGGTCTCAGCACTCAAGAGGTAGGGATGGTAGGATGAGACTTTCAAAGCCATCCTTGGCTACATAGGGAGTCTATGGTCAGACTGGGCTACACGAGACCCTGTCTCAAAAACCAAAATGAACTTGATTCAGCAAACACAGGCAAGTGGAAATGGTCTTTTTATCCCCATGTAGGTTATGTTAACCCTGCTTCTACGTCATCTCGAACTTGAAACAAGCTGGGAGAAATCCATGCCACTCAAGCAGTAGAGGTGCTGTGACGTCAGCACCCATCTAGCAGACCTGGGAGTTGGCAGTCATTTAGGAAAAGAAGCAAAAGAAGGCTGGTTCCGAGAAGGACAGGGTAGCACAGCTGTTGTTAGAAAGCAGCTGGCGCCAGGGGTGGCAGTGCAATCCCGGGACTGGGGTGGCTGAAGCAGGAGGATGCCAAGTCCCTAGCCAGGCTATGCTACATAGCAAGCCCCACTTTAAAACCCCAGCAATAAAGAGAATCTTAGAAACTTGTAGCTCTCCTACCTGCTTTGCTCCTAAAAAGGAGATGAACACATTTAAGAGCCGGATTTATCTTCTAAGGGAAAATATGATTTATATGCTCAATAACTTAGCCGACACCTCTCATGCACGTATACACACACACACACACACACACACACACACACACACACACAACACACACCCAGAAGAGAGAATATCACTATAAATAAAATTCCGCATTTGTGGCTTTTCTTTAGGATGTGACTAGAACCCGATGCCAGATGTTTGAACAATGCACTCCGCACCTCATGCATGAAAGAAAAAGAAACCTGTCATTCCTAAACACACTTAAGTGACAAGACTGCTAAGCTATTACTGTATTATTATTGCCTACTACTCGATTTGAATTATATAATTAGGAAATGAGCTATAAATACCTCTCCAATCTGATGAGGAACTATCCTCCTTACAGCTAATCTTATTAATGTCACAGATACAACGTGCCAATAAAGTAGCCTACATATGCCTCTGAACAGTACTGAATCGAATATATGATCTCTTCATTCTGGTCCCCATCCACACGGTCCAGGCTTTTATCTACCAAAGTGGTCTCAGCTCCTTGTTAACAATTCTTAAGTTCTTCAACCTTTCTCAGAACCAGTCTTCCACGTACCTTCCTCTGGCACACCATCTAACGAAGCAGTGGCTCCAGGTCCGGGGGGTTTGATCCATTTGCGGGCACCATGAGAGCTGCAGGGAGCCAACACAAAGCCAAGTGCCTTACTTGGCAGCACAGGCATACTGCTGTCATGCTTAAACTATGTGTATATATGTCTTCCGTGCACGGCCCCCGAGGAGCAATCAGGAGGCACAGTCTGCCTCTCAGGGATCCTACCAATATGGAGAGGGGAGCGCCTGAAGATAAGACTGGGGGCCAGCGGATCTGGTGGACTGCTAGTCCCGTGGTGAAGGGATGGGACTTGCCCTGGCGACACAGGCACGTCCCCTTCACACTGATATTTCTATAGGCATTTTGTACACGTAGCTGCAGGTATCCTAAGCCTTCCTTCATTATGGAAATAGCCTCTGTACTTGTGGCATCTTCAGGCAAAGATCCAAGAATCAGTAGCATAAAATCCTTGCCCTTCAGGATTGCCCAGCAGCCACCACGACCTCATCTCTTTTTAAAACTTTCATATACTTTCCTTCTGGAGGGAAGCAGAATGGACCCAGTCTTCTACTTTGTACAGTTTGGTAGGAGCTGTCTTCTAGAACTGCTGAGAGGCGGCAGAGAGCAGAGTCTTTGCAATAAGGTGACAGGTGTGCTGCTGTATTGGCAGAACCCATGTCAAGTGGCTCACAAATACCGTCCAGCTCCAGGGGATCCAATGCCACTGGCCTCCATGGGCACCAGCACGTTCCCCCATACTGATACAAACACATAATTAAAAATTAATCTTTTGGCCTTTCTTTCTTTCTTTCTTTCTTTCTTTCTTTCTTTCTTTCTTTCTTCCATTTTTGGTTTTTTTTCAAGACAGTTTCTCTATGTTGCCCAGGTTGTCCTGGTGTCCTGGAACTCGCTCTGTAAACCAACCAGGCTGTCCTCAAACTCAGAGACCCACCTGCCTCTGCCTCCTGAGTGTTGGGATGAAATGCAAGTACCATCACACCTAGCTCAAAATCTTATAAATAAACAGTTCCCCCCCCCAAAAAAAAAACCAAAATTAAAATT